TCATACGAGTATTATATGGGTGTTTGTTGCTCATTTCTTTATATCTGTAGCTATGCGTATTGATAAAACAAATATATTAATTAAAAAAAAAAAATCTCAAAAATCCACAGAAGGTAAGAAAAAAAAAAAAAGAAATAATGCCGTTATAATTGTTGCATGAAGAATTGACATGGCTTTTAATATTTTTAAATAGCACTGATCAAGATTAGTAATCAGTTACCATACCTTAACCCTAATAAATCGATGTAATTTGAGAGCTGGCGTTGAATAACGAATATGATTGTGGGCTTTTATAATAAAATAAAAGTTTTCAACAAAAATAATGTATAAAAAAAAAAAAAAATGTCCATTAGTATGTGAGAGTAAAAATCTTATTTTTAGGGAAATTGCATAAAGGAATTGTAAATAATTATAAAATCATAAATTGGCATTGTTCTCTATTTTATTAATAACAAGAATGTACAATTGATTTTTACATTAATAAATCTCACAGTGATTAATTCGTTTCTAATCAAATTTGAAAAAAAAGCAAGTTTGATGTAAGTTCACTTAAAAATTTGATATCCGACGCGCTTAAGGTGATTCCCTTCTCAAAGCTCCTTAAAGTGTCTCAAAGTTGTAAAACAAAGCTTTAAAAATATCTATATATGGAAATATTTCTTGTCAATATAGCGAAACTAGAAACTAATAACAGGCTCAGGTTTCCTTATAGTTCACCATAACGAGCTTTTACAGCATATTTACACGACCTTAGAATCCATAAAAACCCACAATCTCAAGCTCAAATAAAGCATCTCTCTTCGTTATTTACCTTTTGTATTAAATATACGAGTCAATTGCTCAACGAGTAGACAGACACCTATAAATCTCTTTACAAATGTAAGTTTCTAGCTGGTCGTGTTGGATGATTCATTTGTGTGACAATCTTGCATATCTTCATACAACAATTGGTTTACACGGCAAATTTCGGAATACTGGAAACACTAACAAAAACATTATTTTCACGCTAAAGAAAAAAGATACCAACCTACAATTGAGAGTCTAAAGCAAATCATAAAATGTCACGTCAAAAAATCTTTATAAACTTAACATGTCTTTTAAATAACAAATATTCATACCTTATCTCCAGCACCCGTTACTAAAATATTTTCATTCATTGGATTCCATGCCAAAGTATTAACTTCACTTTGATGTGCAATAACCGAATGGGCAGGTTTATCAGTCTTTTCTGAACGTGTATCCCAGCTATTGATATAAATATTATAAAATGAGACTATACCACACTCGTCAAAGCAAACATAAATAAATATAGTAATTTTACATAAGCAACTTCTGATCATCACCAACAGAAGCAAATAGATGTTCATCCAGTATATGCCATGCTACGTCCTATCATATAATTAATTTATATTAATCGCGCTGACGAATACATATTAAAAATAAATTGTCGCATTTATAGAAGCCACCTCGACAAATGCTTCATGGCCTCGATAAATGCGGAATGGTTCCATCGTTCGTGTTTCTTTAGTATACCCAGTAATGTCCCTACAAGATTAACAACATTAAATTAAGGTCACAATGATAATTTAAATTTATTTTATAAATCTTAAACTAACCAATGGCAAATCGTGGTATCCTCGGACGCATCTAATATATGACCCTCTTTTAATGGATTCCACGATAATCCGTATCTGTTAATTATGAATTTAGATCGTAATTGTTGGATATACAACTTGATTTCATTAAAAGGCTTGAAAAGATTTACTTACCCTTCTTTTATATGACCTCGTAATTTCAATTGAGTTTCAGGAGATGTTTATATATTTGACCGGACAAGACATCCATTAAAGCCTGGATC